ACTGATGAAGTGTCGATGGTCATTGTGTTGTGCAATTCACATTAGTCATTGTGGCTACTAGCTGCCTTCTGCACCAATGCACAAGCCACTAATCACACTGTGCATATGTCAGCCGGCTTGCACCGTCACTGTTTGAGCAAGTGGCGCTAGCTAGTCATTTGGGGCCCAAGGTAAACAAAACCCCTCCAGTCCCCCCAAGCCCTTTTAGTTCAATTTTGATAAAAGATGATTTGTGTAATTTAGCCCACTTTTGAAATCAGTTACAATTATTTGACAGCTCAAGCCACCTAATATTTATCAATCAAGATTTGTTGTTGTTTTTCATCAACTAAAAAGTGTGTGTTTGAAAAAAGAAAATTTCCTATTTCCCGAGCTAGAGAAAGTCTTTAAAATCCTACTTGAGGATTGTTATGTAACACGTAAATCATCTAAATACTTTTAATGTATTTGATGAAAACATTAATCAACATTGATCAAAGACGATTGTGAAGTATGAGGTGCAATAATCCTTTGTTTTTAGTGGTTAATTGGTACAGCCCCCCCGCCCCCCCTGCTCCCTCCCGCAGAAAGTGAAACACTGCAAAATAGGATTTGCACAAGGAGTTTTTGTGTGTGTCGTGAACGTACTGTTCGCATAGAGTTAAATATGAACTGGGATTGGCCGTCATGAAGAAGTGTGTAATGTAGTCATAAAAAACGCATTAAATTTCTACTGAGTTTTTTTTTTCAGGGGCAGGGGATGGTGATTTTTAGTGCCGACATTTTTACATACAGACCTATTATATAAGTGCCAAATCAGCCCAATCTCGTGGCTTTTTTTCACGCCTGAATGAACGTGCGCTGTTTACGAAAATAGAGCCCATTGTCTCATTTGGTGGAAACAAATACCATCCGGACACAATCTCATCCCTTTAAGTCACCCCGATCTTCATGTGATACAAATGTGTGCATTCCATCGTCTCATTTCATTAAGCGTGTGGGTAATCAAATACATCATATAGCGTCACTTTCCTTTTGGATGAGTGCCCAAGTTCCTGCAGCAGGCTTCAGTTTTATTTGCCTACTTCATGTCGAACTTGACCTTTTGCAAATATGATCGTATTCTGATAACTGCATCAATACTGCGATATGTTCACTGAGCCTACACATGATAAAACAATGCTGTTTTCCTAATAGAAGAAACTATCGTTCTCTCTCGGGCTCTGCTTGGTATGTGGCCTTAATAGTGCATGGAAAGGATGAGTGCCCAAGTGCCTGCAGCAGGCTTCAGTTTTATTTGCGTACTTCATGTGGAACTTGACCTTTCGTAAGTATGATAGTATTCTGATAACTGCATCAACACTGGGATATATTCACTCAACCAACACATGATTAAACAATGCAGTTTTTTAATCGAAAACTAGTCTTCTTCTTTCTAGGCAACTCAGTGGTTGACTGTTTAGTGCGTCGGCCTCACAGTGCAGAGGTGCCGGATTCAATTCTGGCTCCGGCCTCCCTGTGTGGAGTTTGCATGTTCTCCCCGTGCCTGCGTGAGTTTTGTCCGGGTACTCCCATGTCCTCCCACCTTCCAAAAACACGCGTGGCAGGTTAATGGAACACTCATAATTGTGCCTAGGTGTGAATGTGAGCACGGATGGTTGTTCATCTTTGTGTGCCCTGCGATTGGCTGGCAACCGGTTCGGGGTGTCCCCCGCCTACTGCCCGAAGACAGCTGGGATCGGCTCCAGCATGCCCCGCGACACTTGTGAGGATAAGCGGATCAGAAACTGGATGGATGGATGGATGGATGTTTGTGTTTGTGCCTGTGTGTATGTGCGTGCGTGTGTGATCCTCATATTGATCCAGAAAGGAACCTGTCACGTTAATGAGGGGCGTTCCGATTTCAAGACGGTTCATTCATGAGATCTGATCACATGGATTCGGTGTAAAATTTTTAAATCGTCCTGTAACAAAAGATTTGTTTTATCCGTGTTGCTAATTCTTCTGGAGAATGAGTATGAGCATGATATTCATAATTTAATTGGGATTTCATTAACCCTTTTAGGGACAGCGGTTACTACAGTGGACAGCTTTCCATGTTATCAGGTTTCTGGTACTGCTGATTCCATAATTTTTTTTTCCCCATAAAGTTTCTAACTCAAATGAAATTATAAATATGAACAGTAAAATAGTAGATGAGAGTGCACATTAAACACATTAAATTGAACAAAAAAATCTACTGCTCATCTGGTTGTGTTTAAGATGTTCCTTAGAGCAGATATTCGCTATGTTCCAATCAGATGTTTTGTTAACCCGATTCAGAGTCACTTGATATATCAGGGCTCAATATTCCGAGACAGCACAGCTGCACTCAAGCACACAAACTGATTTTCGTGCTGATGCAGCCTCGGTTCACTTATTTGGGAATGAAGTTCATCGCTCTGTGCCATGTTGGGTGTACCAAGGACATGTTCTTTGACATGCGCCCGGCACATAAGTTTGTTAGTTGAAAGGAGACTAAACTTTACGCCTCCTGAAATCATGTCCAAGGTCTGGCGCAGGTAAATGTATTACAATTTGTGTGAATGTCAGGTTTCATCACAAAATCAAAAAATCCAATCTACTTACAGGTTAAAAGCTTGAAACGTGAAATGCTTCTCAAGAAGAAAAGAGAAGACTTAGTTCCAACAAACAAACAATTAAGCACCAGTCCTGTTCAGAGCCATCACACGTCATTGTGATAGAGCAGCCCTTTAACTGCACCTGTTAGGTTTCTTCTTCTACTACTTCTGCAGTATCTCGATATAGAGGTAAACAGTCTGATGCCTCATGGTCCCCCACTGGCAGGAAGCGAAATTGCAAATGAGCTTCTCGTTTTCAACAGCAACAGCTCATTTGTTTTTAATCTGTAAAATATGCTCCCCTGCGGTCTTCACAGGCATTTTGCGGCCCACTATCTCGTACTTGTGACCCAACTTCGAAGCTTTGACCCCATGGTTAAGAATCACTGTTTTTTTAGACAACCAAACGGGAAAAGGCTGACTACCACAAGATTGATGATGCAAAAATAATCATTTAAACGGAAGCTGCAATGTCTTTCAAGTGGTTTCCTCTGATTGTTGAGACATTTAGCCAGACATAATTCAGCAGACCTCTCCCGCCTCTTACACACTCATAATTCCTGATTTTTTTTTTTCATCTGATGACTATGAAGTATTTGTGTGTTACATATTGTTCCATCACGAAAGCCTAAAGTCGTTTCCTAACTCTCATGGTTTCCATTATTTGTCTCTAATCCCCCAAATGACAAAAAATCTTTAGGAATGCAGAGCGCAGGTACTTCATGAAGGTAAAACCAGCCTACCCACAGTTACTATTTAAAAATTTTCATTGACTGGAATCTGGGTTCTCAGAAAAAAAAAAGAATGATAGTCATGACAAAAACAACAAAATAACTACAAAATGGTTTAGCAGTCAGATGTTTATTAATGTTCCAATCTTGCACTACCTAACAATTTTATCAGCATTCTAATTCATAAATAGCATTTAATATGGCATACTTTATTTTTCACTTGAAGTATCTTATTCTGTTTAACAATAAATTCAGAATGAAAAGATTTCAAATTAGCTCGTGATATGAAATATATTTAACTGGATTGAATGTTCACGTAACCGACCGTATATGGGTCAGCAATCATGGAGAATTGACCTTTACAATTCAAGTAAGTCAGTTCATATGAAACTGGAAGTATTATCTGCTCATTCAGCAAAGCAGCTGAGGGCTGGTACCACAGGTCAAGATGAAAGAAGGTGCTGCAGGCGGAGTGGATGACTTCTGGGCGTACACCGTCCAATTGCTCTTTACTGGCACGTTGCACACGATCAAAGACAATTTAGACTAGAGCAGAGATGAGAGCTACCCGTTCATGGACCTGACTGGACTAAGAGGCTACCATGTCATGAAGGCAGTACATTTTCTTTAAACTAAGCTCCACTGTTCTGTGTAAAGAACTAATCTATTCATGCTAGTTTAATTATGGACAAAGCAGGTCTCAGATTTCGACAGTATTTTAAAGATCCTGAAAAGGGACAAAAACATGTTTTGTTGTTTTAATAGTTTTGATTGACTCCAATTTCTCCTATGTGATTTTTATCGAAGAAAATAAAGGTTTGGGTTGTTCACTTGTGTGTATTTGGATTCTCATTAAACTTCATCAATGTGCAAGTTTGGCCAGCTGAGAAAACCACAGGCAAGCATCTTGATTGTGTTGGAGGGTTTTGTTTTTTTATTTTGGGTGGTGGTGGTTGATGCAGAGTCCTTGAGTAAAACCGCATCTTGTGTTATTTCCCTCTCGGCTGGACAAGGTCAGGATGTTCACGAAGCTGGAAGCGGTTAGTACTTGTGAGCATGTACAATTAGTTGTACTTTTACTTTACTTTATTTTGCATTTACTACATTATCTATTATTCATTTGTCTTTTTTTTCACCTATCCATCCATTTCTGTACCACCTTAGCCTCTTCAGGGTCACACTTGAGTGGTCACCAAGTCATCGTAGAACACATGTGGAAGCAGACATTCACACTCACATTCACAGGGTCTCTGAGGGGGAACTGAATCCACATTACCTGAACAAAATTCATTTGAGTAAAGCACTAACCCGCCAGTGACTTATTTTATACACCAAACAATGTATAACAATGTAAAGGCAAAAATTTAAGTTCCGCCCCCGAAAAAATATGAGCAGGTTGTATCAACAAGCTTTGATACTACTTAAACTGGTATTAAGACATACATTTCTCTTCATAGAACTCTTTATTCCTCATGTTCGCTATTTCTCAACCCGACGCATGTATTTTCATGAATTGACCACTGCTGATGAATTATTCAATGAACTGTAAGAAAGTTAACATGTTCAATGATTCGTATGAAGTCACATTTTCATGAAAAGCATGTGTTCACAGCCTCTGCTTCACTGCCTTAATGCTTGTCTCTGATTCCTTCTTGTTGGTCCTCTCCAGGGATCTGAAGAATAATCTGATAAGCACAGTAGAGCCTTGGGCCTTCCGTGGTCTGCTGACTTTGAGGAGATTGTAAGTATTTTGGAGTCTAGTAATAGTCTTCTTTAGGGGACAAGGAGAGAACTCATCTGGCTTATTGGAGATTACAAGAACATATTATGTTAAGTACTATGTCAAAATGAACTGAAATATACAGGATAGTTTCACGCAAGCAAATCATTTTGGTTGCAGGAAAAATGTGGGCGTGGTGAGCACATCTGCCTCGTAGTACAGAGGTCCAGGTTTAAAATCCTGGCTCTGGCCTTCCTTTGTGGCGTTTGCATGTTCTCCCTGTGCTTGTGTGGGTTTTTTCTGGACACGCCGGTTTCCTCCCACATTCCAAAAACATGCATGGTAGGTTAATTGGGCACTCTAAATTGTACCGATGTGTGAGTGTGAATGCTCATTTGCCCATGTACACTCTGTGATTGTCTGGCAACCAGTTCAGGGTGTACCCGACCTGCTGCCTGAAGACACCCGGGATAGGCTCCAGCACGCCTGCGAGGATAAGTGGTTCGGAAAATAGATGGATGGCTGAAAATTGTGTCGGGAAAAGTAACGATGGGTAAATGAAGCTTCAACATGTTTCATGAACCAGCTGTTGTGTTTACGGAGCCCTCTAGCACTTACTATTCAACATAGGGCTGAAATCACACTGACTTGCCATTTCTTAAACCCTTTTCTTTAAACCAACAGTTCCATTTAGAGGAGTAAAAAAACAAAACAAAAAAACTACAGTACTGCCTCATGAAGCAAATATGAAGCTTCATATTCCCATTACTAGTGACAAGCCGTTAACCTTTAAGTATGACCAACGGGCTTTGAATAGCCTGCACGCAGCATGCATCCAATGCACATTGTTTTGAGTCTCACTAAGTCTCAGTGTAGTCAATATGTAACATCAAATTGGCTCTGCTCATGTTGCCAAAAGGAAGAATGGCAGGGATATTTCTCTTTGTGCATGTGCGCAAGTATTGATCACATCATTACTTTCTAAAATTATGGGTCAAATAATGTTTTCATTTTTTTTTTTTTTCTCTTCAGAAAACACAAAAAACTGAACTGAAGAGCTGACTATATTGTTATTAATCATCATTTCACTTCAAGGGTAGAATTGAATGAGCTGGTTTAACTTTGGATATATTTGATTTTAGCAGAGCATCCTGAGGAGACGTTTAAGGAAAAAAAAAGAAACAATTTGTCAAAATATTACTTAGGCCATTATTTTAGGAGTCACACACTCTGTAAAAGCAAAACAGACCTTGTATAAAAATGCAGTGGCTTGCCTTGAAATTAATGATGTTTATCTGACTTGTTTGATACACCCGTTTGGGTTAAGCAAGGTAACATACTTTAACCAACCCTGTTTGCTTTACTTTTGAATGAATTCAGGCGAGAGATAAAGTCATTTGAATATAGGCATATTTCTTGATGATATTAATGTGGGTATATTATTGTCTGCAGATGATAGTACTGGTACTCTTTTGGCTGAATCCGAGTTTGCCCTATTGAATGCATAGTGCCATAAATGGAAACGTACCGGAAGATAAGACAAATCGTAGATTTTGGGAAAACACAGGGGAATTAGAGGGTAAATTTATTTTGGTTTAGTTTTTAGAATGTTGATATATATGAATATAAAGCCTTTTTTGGACAAATTCATATGAGTTTTGACATTGAAACAGGGCCATCAATAATTACCAAACTCAAAATATGTAAAGCCTGTATCCCAATGAGCGGTCAAGGTTTGCAAACGTAGTGAATGGTTTTTTTTTTTTTTTCTACAGGTTTCATTCAAGGTCGCAAATAGTCACAAAGCACACCCACTCACGCCCACAACCCACACACACACACACACACACACACACACACACACACACACACACACACACACACAGACACGCACATACACTAATTCAAGGTATTCAAGGTATGATAAACAGTTAGTCTGAGGCACAGTGGACACTGTAAGGTAAATTAAACACACCAAGACAAGTTGAAAAGAGTTTAAAAGAGTTGTCGGTGGTGAGTGTGTGCACTTTTCCACACGTTAGATGAAGTTTAAAAGATCACTTTGCATCGCCATCAAATCCTTGTTACTTCAACAGAATGTGATGTGACCGTATACAAATGAGCAACATTGTTTTTCTTATTTTTATTTGGTTTTTAATGCTTATCTCACCATTACCAAATTAAATAGATGTACACGTTGATTGAACAAAATTTGACACAATAAGGCTACACCACTACAATAGGCAGATGCAGAGGTGTACCTTATTACTCTTATTCCTTGAACCTCTTCATTCACTTAGTAACCTTGTTTAACCTTTTCTTCATTACATAACCATTGCCCATTTTCAGATGCTCAAACACGTGAAAAAGCAGAGGGGCTTGTACGTCTATGGATCTCTGTCTTCACGCTCCGTAATCAAAGACCATCTTTGCTGGAGCAGCTGAGGGAAAATAAGCAGAGCAGTCACATAAAGACCGGTTGGGGAATACTTAAATTAACACTTTGCTTCTGCCTCAGTTCGGAAACACACACATACACGCACACACTTGGACACACACACACACACACACACACACACACACACACACACACACACACACACACACACACACACACACACACACACAAACCAAAATCAGCATGGCTAACTGACTGCCTGTGCCCTTGCCAGCCCAGATTACACAAAACTATCAAAATGTTGTCACTTAAAAGGCTAAATGAGGAGCAATGGGAAACAGAAATACCTAGTTGTTGACAGGAAACAGGGATACACACTCCCTGTTTGACATATCGCCAATGACGTTTTGAAACAGGAAGTGGTGTGGTAAATATTTCCCATATTCATCACTCCGGCGAAAGACCCGTTTGTCTGTCAAAATTGCCCCGGTATACCCCACATCAAAAGTTCTGGCTATGAAGTACAAATGTCCGTATGCGAATAACGTGAATAAACCATCAATTTGCTTCATGGACATTTACGCATATGTTTGGTTTTAGTATAAATACAACATTCATTCGTTCATTCATTCATTTTCCGAACCGCCTTATCCTCGCTATGGTCACGGGGGGTGCTGGAGCCAATCCCAGCTGTCTTTGGGTAGGAGGAGGGGGAAACCCTGATCCGGTTGCCAGCCAATCGCAGGGCACACAGATACAAACAACCATTCGCGCTTACACTCACACATAGGGACAATTTGGAGTGTTCAGTCAGCCTGCCATGCATGTTTTTGGAATGTGGAAGGAAACCAGAGGACCCGGTGAAAACCCACGCAAGCACGGGGAGAACATGCAAACCCCACACAGGAAGGCCGGAGCTGGAATTGAACCCAGTATCTCTGCATGGTGAAATTGACGTGCTAACCACTCGACTACCGGGCCGCCATAAATACAACATTGCTTCTCAACTAAAGTGAAAAAAAAAACAAACCCCTGCTTGTCACTCCAATGACGCACCATTTACATATGCCAGTGGTTGCATGGTAGTGAAGGTGAGCAAGCTAGCCAGCCCCTTTATGTGAAAAAGAAGGACAAATGTTTTCAGGAGAGGTGAGGTTGGCCAGGGTCGCTGAGGGACGATGTTCCAAAACACAAAAATATCTCAGATCACATGTACGTGTGTTTTCTACCTGGTCAAATTGTATTGTATGTGTTGTCTTCACACATTTTCCCCATGTTAACTCAGCCCACAGTAATCCCACAATGCACATTGACTGACATCTTTGTGGTCATAGTATGACATACCGCATTTGGATGTAATGCAGCCATCATGACTTGATGTCAACATTGTATATTATATACACAGTATTATACAATAAAATTGCTTGTGGAAAATAGAAACGTTTAACATACACTACCTAATTTAATATACATGTATGTATCTACGGATACATACATGTATTTACATACATAAATTTAATAAATGTAAATCGTTCACCAAAGGCCGCGGTCCTCAAACTTTTTACAGCAAGCACGACCTAAAAGAATATGTACCACTCTGGTGACCATCATAAAATTACAATCACATAGTGGGCTTAAGTTTTCATTAAAAAAATAATAATAAATAAAAAGCAGAGGTTTTATTCCTGAAATATACCTTGTGGCATCACACAGGGACATGTAGTGGAAGGAAGAGGGGGAAGTCGCTCTATGCCCGGACTTACTGTCCCCGTTGCCAGCGATGGTGCGGGTGGGTCGTCAAACAAACAACAGAGTGACAGGGGTAGCACTGCGCAGATGTCTATATTTATGGCACTCATTCCGGGGACTCATAACAATCAACTCTAGATTTCTTATTTTCGCTCTACTTTATACTCCATACTGTCTGTATTCGCTCCTGCACAGCTTCCACTTTTCTCTCTCCCTCACGTGTGCTCATTCCAATCGCAAATGGCTGATGAATATTCAGTATGAGGACGTACTCAAACAGTTTCATTGGTCCACTGTGACATGTTCAGTATTTTCATTAGTCAGATGTGACGAGACTATTGGTAATTCTATTGGTGGCTTTAAATTCTGAAATAAACCGCATCACATTGAAAGCCGTAGGGTTCAATAAGTGGGGAAAAAAGTAGCAACTTGTTGTCCAGAAAGTCTATGGCACATTTTTTAAAGTAGACTATACGGCTACCCAGCTTCGGTCTCCCTGTGTGGGTATCTGCATCTTCTCCCCGGGCCTGCGTGGGTTTTCTCCGGGTACTACGGTTTCCTCCCACATTCCAAAAACATGCATGGCAGGCAGACTGAACACTCTAAATTGTCCCTCGGTGTGAGCGTGAGCGTGGATGGTTGTTCCTCTCTGTATGCCCTGCCATTGGCTGGCAAGTGGTTCAGGGTGTCCCCCGCCTACTGCCCGAAGACAGCTAGGACGGGCTCCAGCACATCCCGCGACCCTTGTCAGGACAAGCGGATCGGAAAATGGATGGATGGATATCTTAAAAAATGTATGTCGATCTAGATGATCATACAGTTGCAGTAAAGCGACTGTGTTATGTTACAATGTAAAATACTAGACTAGGTAAATTAATCTCTCTGCACACAACAATATTTTGCCAATGTGTTTTACGATGGCCTTTTTTTTCTGTCATTACAGGGACCTGTCAAACAACAGAATAGGTTGCCTCTACTCTGAAATGTTTCTGGATCTGGGCAATCTTTTAAAATTGTAAGTTGCATTTCTATTGATTAAAATGACATTGAAGGTATCCTCACTATTTTGAATAGACTTTATGCAGGTTTTTGGAGTCGATTGGCAATCTGCGATCAGTGAGTTTGAAAAAGAAAAAAAATGATACTCGATGAGCGATTCGATCCGAAGATGGAGCAATATATCTATTTAAACAACTTGTGCATTTACTCTACAGTCGACCGAAATGAATTGGGAAAAGAAATCATCATTTAAACACCTCCAAAATTAAAAAAAAAAAACAAACAAACAAACATGAATAAACATGAAATATAGCAGTAATGAAAAAAAAAATGCATGAACATGATTGCCAGTCATTCAGCTGGCTGGAGCTTTTGCCCAAACTATTGCTATTTTGGTTCGACAGCTGTAAAACTTACCGGCTACTGAGTTGATCGCTTCACATTGTGTTCCTGCTGAAGTCCCGGATGGTGCCCACAGACCGCAATCATTAATTTGTCAATTTGTTGACTCTTACTTGACATGTATGCTGTAAAGATTAGGCCCTATCTACACAAACTGTGTTGATGTGATATGTAATCGCATCGGGAGAATAGCTCAAGACACGTTAAGTATGACCGCAGTATATCTCATATCCCGGGATCTGAAGGTTGCTGTTTCGTTCAGGCCACATCACAAGGGAGAAGAGGAGGGGCTCATCCTTGTCTTCTGACAGGAAATAAAAATGGATGAACATCACAAGTCAGTCAGGTGGCCGTGGGTTGTGCTAAAACTCTTGCTAATGCAAAATACTATTCACAGTTCACAGTTCAACAGCTGTAAACAAGTAAATACATTTACTGTACGCACAACTTTTTCACCAATCCTGAGTCTTTTTGGCTCAAATTGGAATCTGGCTGTATTGTGCAGCGACTGGTGCCCACAGATCACAATGATATATATATATATATATATATATACTTTTTTTTTGTCCTATATTATTTCTCCATGCTACCTGCACAGGACACCATTTGTCTGTGCCAAGTGTGTGACATAGTAAGTTCTCGAAACTGTGTGTCTTTCAGTTCAAATTTACCAACTTGCGCAAATGTGCTTGCCCTCATTCGCGGCGCCTCGCACACATCAATCAATTAACACTACATTGACTTAATGTGTATTGTGTCGAATAACTCAGTCGCGGCATTCGAGAGTGAGAAGTCCTCCGGGCAGTTCTGAGAGTAGATCCGTTGCTGCTTTGCATCAAGAGAAGCCAGATGACCTCAACTGGCTTGGGCGTCTGGTTCAAATGCCTCCTGGACCCCTTCTTGGTGAGGTGTTGTGGGCATGTCCCACCAGGAGGAGAGCTCGGAGAAGAATCGGGAAAGACGATGATCTCTGTCAATTGACTAACCCATCGGGCCCCAGTCCATGAGCTGAATGTGGCTGGGGGGTGTATTGAGGAGGGAAGCCTTCTCTGCTGATGCTTCTGGCCTCACAGTCCGTTCCTGGATAGTTAAAAGATGGATGTATGGATGGATATTGCAACTTGTATCTCTCTTACCCTGTGTTTTTCTGCTTGTAGGAATTTATCTGGGAATATCTTCTCCACTTTGACAGTGGGACTCTTCACACACCTTGTGGCTCTCAGAGTACTGTAAGAAAAGCACATCATATTTGCATTTGCATTTGGTGATAAGAATTTCAGGAAGAATCTGGAAAATTGACGAAAGAACAAACATTCACATAGTTCTATTAAGGATGCATGCAGTCATGGATTAATCATTCAATTGATTGTGCGAACTTTATTGTTGTGATTTGTTGAAGCGAGTGAGGCAAAATAGTATGCACTGCTTGGCTCCAACCATTGCTGATTCGATCTCATCTCATTTAGTATGCAGTGTAAGTACCAACGTGACACAACTCCCCTGGGCAGCATTTTTCTGCTCATTACAAACACAGGATCCCAGCATATTTCAAGAGAAATACTCCCAGTCTGGATACCTGAATATATATCTATATTTATGTATTTTTCACGGTATTTCATATAGCATAAAATACGACCTGCAAAACACTGGTTTCCACAGTCAATTACAATGTGTAAAATATTCTTCGAAATAAACATCGAGCTTTTATTTGGTGGTTATTTAAAGTCAAACTTAGCCATTGACAAACGGTTTAGATGCTATTTTGATGCTGTTTAAGAATCCTGAGCATAAATATAACAAGAAATAGTCAAAATAAAGCCGTTCTAAAAAAAATGGATCATATTGCCCTGGGAAAAAAAATATATATATATTTAGGACAAATCTTAGACAAACAAGCTTGTGACTTCATCTTTCCTCTTCTCATCAGACACTTCAATACAGATACTTTATTCTGTGACTGCCAGCTGAAGTGGCTTCTCTTCTGGGCTCGAAGCAAGTCAGTGAGGATTGGCAACGACACGGTATGCGTGTTTCCAACCCACCTCCATGGCCTGGAATTTCGCAATCTTCGAGGACAGCAGCTCACATGTGGTAAGTACCTATATTCGAATTGTAAAGTCCACAGCTGAATAGATGTACAGGATTTCTGCAAACTCCGTGGAAACGAGGAAGCTGGTCGAACACTAACCTGTTCGGATGTCTAACCGTTTTTCCATCGGGAAATAATGGAATTTGACTTTAGTGTTTCCACAGTCAAATTGCGGCCATCATGAAACCTTCATTATCTGTACAGACAGTGCTTGTAATAATAATAATAATAATAATAAGGATAATTTTTGTAAAAATAATTTAACTTGCATAATTAAATTGCATCACAATAATAAAAGTTGACTTTTTTTTTTTTACATTAATTCACAATTATAAAAAAGAAGCCATCCACCATGAATTGCAACGTTAATATAATTTGACACTGTACTTTTGACAACAATTATGAACGCATAAGGAGCTGACCATTTGGTTAGCTTACCATTCGACCCCGCTACATGGCCTTCACCGCCTCTCTTCAGCCTGACAATCTTCACCCGCTGGTCCTTCTGCCCTGCCATCTGCTTGCTCGACTCCTGGCTTAATGTCACATCATCGCTGACTTGCATGGATGGACACTCCATTGTGACACAGTCGGGTTAGGGACAGCACTGAATGTGGGTCACTCGAGAGTATCTTCCTGTTTTCTCAGCTCATGGTATTGTTGCGGCAGCCACTTCCTTTTGAAAAAGTCAACCAAGCAGTCAAATGCCAGCAAAAAAAAAAAAGCATTTTAAGGTAATTGTGTGATGCTCGTTAAACTGACTTCTTGTGCGGTCTCGCAAGATTTTCTGAAGACTTGCTTCCTATTGCAAATATTGTGTGATGCCATACATGTTGTATAAGCTACATTAGCATACACACAATGGTGCATTTTGATGCTGCCACACTTTTGCACGTTTTTTTTAATCAACACATGGAAGATTTCACCGCAAATCCAGCATCCTGAAATTGTACACTAAGAAAGGAAGGAGGTTGGCTGAGAACTCAGAAACATGAGAACCATGATCTCGGAAACAGCAAAGATCTTGGGATACTTAAGGTGGATGGCTTCCAGCGAGAAACTCCTGAATAAAATTTTCTCAGGCAGCAGAAACCTCTTAACCAGGAGAATAGCCATTGTGGAGTGACATACCCAAGCATGGCATCTACCGTCAATGGTATTAAGTGGCTAATACTGAGAAATCTTACTAGTGGCTGGTATAAAAGACAGCACAGAGGTATTCCTTGTAACAGCACATGAACGGATTCTAAGCACAAGATCGATAGAGGTCATGGTCTAACACACTGGGGAGGATTTCAGGTGCGTTCCGTGATGAGACTATCAAACCTAGTGAGTAGGTGCAGCAGATTTGAAGACTAACCTTCGTTTTTTTTTTTCTTCAAATATCTGCAGAAGAGTACAGGAATAGCTCAGACACTGCACAGAATTTTCAGGCTTTGATGCCTCTAATAGAGGAAATGAGCTGGAAGGAGGAAATGTGAGCACACCCTCCCCCCATATACTACATTAATATCATCAAGATAAACAGACACACAGTAGGCCCGTTTGGGGGAAAAAAAAGTCTAATTTAACTAAGGTTATATTTTCAAATGTGAGAACAACGAGCACACTCTTAAGTTCCTTCAGTTCATTTTGATATTAGCTTTCCCTTTTCATTGCTATCTCTCCACCTGCTGTGAGCTGTTTAACAAAGGCGATGATTTAGTGGCAGTGTTCCAGAGAGAAACCCTTGGGCTGTCTTGTTTAAAAAAAGGCATTTGTGACATGATTGTCCTACTCAGTATCCTTTTTCTGTTTGGGAAATATTTCAACTTAAATGGTTGCTAGTTGAAATGAAGTACCACAATTTCCTGACGTAGTACTTCTCGCTCTCTAAAATGCTAAAATAGGGCCGATTTTTTTTTTTTTTTTTTTTTTTTTTTTTTTGTCAATAGCAATTCCTGATTATCAATTGAATTTTCTTTCATGACATTTTGAAATTCAATTTATTTGTGTCACTGTTAACAAAGCATACTAACCATACCTAATAAGCATACCTCAGTGTTTCCCAGCCAGGAGTATGCGCACCTCTAGAGGTACACAAGCACATTGCAGGGATATATGGAAACAGACTTCCAAGAAGATATGCAAATATTCTCAATCATTTCATAAGCCCATCAATAAAAAGCTATGTGTTCGACGTGAGCTACAACTTGTTTCCCTGGGGAGTCAAGTGTTTTGTTCTTTAATGGGAAGTCAACCCCAAAATTATCTTTCCAGTAAAATGTTCGATGTGCCTCTACTAGTCTAAGCAGGCCATTCTGCAAACGCCATCCGTTTTTAGCCATGCTGTCCACTGAAAATGACCTCACAGTAACTATGAGGTCATTTTCAGTTGACTGAAAGTGACAAAATGGCCACCCCCTGAGATGCATTAAAAAAATGGGTGGATTTCACTGCTTGACTCATATTGCACAAACACAATATTAATCAGACTGCCGTGTTTAGACTCGTAAGGCTTATTTTTGCAAAGAAAAGTTTGGGGTTGACTTTCCCTTTAATTTAAAACTTTTAAATGCCCGTTAAACGGTTCAAATGAGCTCCAGTTTTATATGGTTATAAAAGGCAGGTTTATGATTTATTTTGAGTTCATATTTTTTCACTATCTTACAGATTTATTTTTCATTTCATATGTTTAATTTGAATTAAAAATACATTGCCTGATCATTAAATTGATGATTTTAATTAATATTCAGTTGTGTACTCCGTTCTACAAATATACTTTAGGAGACAGGGATGCATGATTCGGTACTTGTGGTGGCTTGAATGATGAGGCAGACACACGCGTTTTCTATTATATATATTTGACTGGAAGTTTCATGCATCAGTAACGTGGGGAAGGAGTCTGAAACATTCTGGAACATTCTCACACATGCGCAATACAAGGTACGGGAAGTCTGTGCATCCAAGCAACATACAAGCAACTATAGTGGTTAATACACCACAGTACTCATGACAAAAGGTTCGGTGGTACACAAATCTAAAAATTTGGGGAAACACTGGTATAACTAACATAACTGTTGTGGTCATAACCACAAACTGCTTCCAACTTGCAATTTTGAAGATAAACATTGTTTTACTATGAAGTCATTAAGCACCCACACTTTCAACAACAACAATTTAGCTCATCGCTGACTACCAGTAAAAAAATTATTACGGTTCTTTTAACCTCCTGTTTGTTTTTTTTTTAATAAACACAAATTCATTGCATCAGGCTGCAGGCCACAGGGAAATTGTGTCTTATATGATAGATTCATCCTTCTCTTGTCCCTACATCTGTTTCCCGCCGGGGGATATTGCTCTGGAATGAGAAAATCATTGGTTATTTGCTGGCTATGGTTCCATGTTTTTTGTATGTGTGTGCTTGATGAAAGAAGGCATTACATGCATTCCTGATGTAATACACTTTCCTGAAAAGTTGAAGGGTATATTTCTCGCAATGCATTGACAGGTGCATTGTTCTGAGATTGCTGCACCACAAAACGTCACGCTGTTAAATTATGTAATCATAAATGTGTGCATTTTAAATTGGCCCTATCACACATCCCTAATTCGTATATAAATGTGAACGTCAATCAATACCGGCGCAATGTCATCAAAATAGTTTTCAGATAATAGAACCTAATGCATGCTAATGTCAGAGATACATCCACATGCAGTCCTATACCCTGTCTCGTCCGCTCTGATCACAAGCTTGTTTGTCTGAAACCAATGTACACTACCAAAGCTGACAAGAGAAACAGAAAGACACAGAAGAAGATCATGAAGCTCTGAACTGAGGCGGCATGTGAGCAGCCAGGAGACTGTTTCAACACCACAGACTGGGACCTACTGTGCAGCTCACATCGGGAGGAAATTAACAGGCTGGCCAAACTTCATCGCATACTATTTTCTGTTTGGGAAAGCCATGTGCCATCCAGAGCCTAAAATGTTTTTCCAACAACAAAGCATGGGTGACCGCTGAACTGAAGACTCTACACCAGGGGTGTCAAACATACGGCCCGCGGGCCGGATCCGGCCCGCAAAGGAGTTTAATCCGGCCCGCGAGATGATTATGGAAAGCAGGGGTGTCAAACATACGGCCCGCGGGCCGGAACCGGCCCACAAGTAGGTTCAATCAGGCCCGCAGGATAATGTAAAAGTGAAAAAAATGCATTAAAGACACAGAATTAATATTTTTAATCAGGTGCAATTCATTGAGTATCCGCAAGGGGACACTGTTTTGATCAGAGAAGAAGACAACAGCAGCCTCAGTCTGTCACTGAGACAGACCCATGACAGCAGACGCTATCAATAGCACTCTCACATTTACACATTTAATAGCACTCTCCTTAGTTTGTAAGGTGTAGGCAGGGATTACATTTAGATTTTATATGCACGTGTAAATGCTTTAAAACTTGCTTTCTTTATGAATCTTGTTTAATCTTAAAGTGCATTACTATATTTTTCAATACCAATTACTTGTTAAAGTTTGTACAAGTGCTTCTTTATACCAAAACAAAGGAAAGACATATTGTTTTGGTTATTTATAGCAAAGTATTGTATCATTTTAATGGTCCGGCCCACTTGACATCTACCGAGGCCGTATGTGGCCCACCATGTGAAATGAGTTTGACACCCCTGCTCTACACAATGAGAAGCTATCCTTCATCTCAGTGAATAAAAAGGATCTATACAACAGATACTTAAGTACAGCATCAGGAATTGAAATCAGGACTACAATCAGCTATTGGAGAAATGCCTTGAGCAGAACAATGCAGCAGAGGTGTGTGAAGAGGTCTTAAACATATCTCAGAACATAACAATAGTAAGGCTGGCCAAGACACCATTGGAGAGTAGGTTAAAAATAGTTAAGCGTTTTGTTTTTTTCATAGTTTTGACCCTACATTTGACCCTTCACCTCCAATTTCTTATCAGCATGGCCCCACTACTTGACACCTCACGAGTCCGTTTGTTTCTCCCCGGCTGCAACTCTTGTCACCTTAGCTTCCCATGAACAACTGACGAAATTCTCCCCAAGGCCTGCCACTCAGGAACGGGTTGTCAAGTGGACATCGAGAAGGTGGCGGACAGAAGGATGCTGGCCAAGTTGAGATCTACGATGGACAGGATTCCCCACCCTCTGTTTTACACTGTGGAATCTCTGAGCACCTCCTTAAGTTCCAGACATTTATCCCCCTACGTACAGAAAGGACTACCATGGCTCATTCCTCCCCACAGCAAAACTACATTTGCACTAAATAACTGTATCTCATGCACACAAAAACAAAACAACTAACAATCAATAATTTCCTTTTTCTTCTTCAGTGACAAATACATGCGGGTGAACATATGTCATTGAATAAGGAAAATGATTACATTCAGTGGAGTAATAATATGGTTATATGCATTTATAACAGGAAAACAGAGTGATAATGGAAATGGGCCACAGAAATGTTCAATGCAGACCGGTACAGACACAAAGACCCACTGTTCAAATCAAGTCAGGATCATTGTTCTGTGACAGTGGCTGACACGCATGAAATGTGGACTGATGATTGCATTGAAGACCACTTTTTGTGCCTTATCATGTATCAACCTTTCCCTGCTCGATTTAGCCTGTGGAAAGTTATCTTAACCTGTCGTATGTGTGGCAGATAGCAGCTTTTACCTGCTAGATTCTATTCTCAGAGTTTTGAAATGGCAATGCATGAATATAGAAAAAAATTAACATGACTTGATTTGACTCAGGGCATCACCGGTGGGCGAAGCTTAGCTTGTTGGTTTCGCAGCGCCAAGCTGCAGGGTTGGATTCCGTCTCCGGCCTTCCTGTGTGGAGTTTGCATGTTCTTCCTTTGCCTTTTCTCCGGGTACTCCGGTTTCCTCCAACATTCTAAAAAAACATGCACTGTAGGTTAATTGAACACTCTATCTCAGTGTTTTTCAACCTGTGTGCCGCGGCACACCAGTGTGCCACGAGACATTGTCAGCCGTGCCACGGTAAAATAGCCAATTGCCTGTGAGGTCTTTCGCCCAGAAAGTAATCATGTAGTACCCTCCCATACCGCTAGGGAGCAGCAACAGCTAGCCAATTGCCTTGTGTTTCGACGAGAGACAAGCAAATTTGTGACGCATGAATGCAGGACGACGGTGAAACAATAAATATGAAAGATGATAAAATACTTTTTTCTTTGTGTTCATTTGATTCCAATTCAAGCTGTTATAACGTCATTCTTCAATGTTAAAAACGGTTATAGTAACAATATAACACGTTAATTGTTAAAAAAAAGCGTGGGGGAGGGGGGGCCATATTTTCAGCTAGTGGTGTGCCGCGAGATTTTTTTCAATGAAAGAAGTGTGCCTTGGTTGAAAAAAGTTTGAAAAACACTGCTCTATATTGTCCGGAGGTGTGACTGTGAGAGCGAATGGTTGTTCGTCTATGTGTGCCCTGCGATTGGCTGGCAACCAGTTCAGGGTTTCCTACTCTCACATGGCACAACAGTACTACCTGTCTTGTCATATAGTCTTGTTGTTTTGAAGAAACAGTGATTGTGGCCTCCTGCCAGAGAATCAGATGCTTTGTGCGTCGAGGTCAGGGCAGGCTCTCCATTCCACTTGACTAATAGTCCCCAGCTAGTTCTCATTTCTTCCCATCAGACTTCTGAAATTACTTTTCTCTTAACCAGCCCGCTCCGACCTTGCGCACTCCAGCCATAGTACGTCACACACAGAAGCTCTCAATCACCCGCAAACGAATCTACACTCCTATGTTCAGTGGTCTTCCGCCAAGTCGCCACCTTTGTTCACACTTAGCTTCCTCAAAAGTGTTTCTTAAGTTGTAGGATGATGGAGTTTTATAAAAGTATTGATTTATTGCTCCAAAGGCCATATTAACTTTGAAGCACTATATGTGCGGCGCATTAGTGTGGTTCAGTGTTTATGAAATCCGGCTTCTGCTCTTAAACTTACCACATGAATGTTCCCGTTTTACGATTTTATCCTTTTTTGGACAACTCACTCCAAAGAGTTTTTTTTTTTTTTTTTTTAACCTTTGAACATATGAATATATACATTAATGGAAAACATTTATTATGTGTGAAAATGCATGACAGACTTAAGTTACAATAACATCATGGATGAAAGAGTTATTACAGTGCGATGTTGTGGAAGCACTCTGCGGACCAGTGTTTGCTGTCAGATGTGATTACAAAAATGACATGAAAAGCCTAATGGAACAAATGAACATTATTAGGTCTTCATCAGCGGTTCTTTAAGTGACAGCAGGTGTGCGCTGACTTCCATTTAAGATTGAATGTGATTAGTTACTCCGTAACATAGCCACTACCAATATTTAACTGCAATATCTGTCTTGTTTATTTTTACTTCTTCTCCATTACAATATTTCATTGTTTTCACTTGGGTACAGGTTATAGGTCACATTAATGCTGGTCGACTTTTTGTCGACTGTTTGTTTCATGCCTTTATGGTAGTTAGCTAGTCTAAGTTTTCGAAAGACGGTTTTATAAGAATAAAGCATATTACAAACATATTCCAGATACGTTATTGTGGTGTCGTAATATAAGTCAATGTACAGTATAGTAGTATATAAGTAAAATTGTTGAAAGATAATGAATTCAAGTTGCCATTTCACACTGTCGCTTCACATACAAGGCTGGCAGCCGAGCAATTCATGGTAATATTCTCGTATCTATCCCACAGGTCCCATGTGTTACGAGCAAAGTCTCGCTCTGTGGAAGCGTGGCCTTATGGGATAAATTTTCCTTTTTTATCAGTGGATTGTGAGTGCTGGGGAAATTGTGTGTTACCAACCACCCGCAATGTGAATAGAAATTGAAGGGCGCTTAAATAAAGAAATACATGCACACAAAACACAACCTTCAGCCCAGCTACTGCACGCATCTAAGCCCAGATAATCATCATCATCATCATCATCATCTTTTCAACTGATATTTGACTTGAGCTATTCTGACAAGTTTGTTTTTACCTATTTATATTATCCTGCGCAGTTCATGGAAAAAAAGGAAAAGGAAAATAAGTTCAGAAGTGACGACAGAATACATTTGTTCAAGCATTACTATTTAGAGCACCAAAGAGCTTAAACAATAACATAACTTCTTCTCTTTTTGCAGTAAATCTTTTTTTTTTCACCAGTAATTGGCGTTGTATTTTTAAAGGCTCTTCCCCTCTACGAATTATGTTCACAATACAGTAGAAACTCGAACGTTGAAAGCCCCTGAGGTATTAAGTTGGAATCAGTCACGTAAAAATTGCCATCGTGAAAAATATTACTGTAGCTTTTGGCCCAGAGTTTAGTACATCCACTTAGCTGCTCTGACGTTTGTGGTTTGAATCTCAACTTCAGGCTTTCTGTGCGGAGTTTACATGTTCTCCCCATATGTGCATGGATTCTCCCTGGGTACTCCAGCATTCCCTCACATTCCATACGGATGTGCAGGGCAGCTACAGATACCTTGGAATTCCACAGGCTTCGACCATCAATTTCCCAGACCTCTGGTAGAGGACCCTTAGCTTGAAGGAGATACAGGTACCGTATATCATGTACTGTATAATGGGCTTCAGCTCACGAGACACCCCAAAGAAGATAAGCAGATATGAGATAGGTGGCTGGATATATCACGTATACATCTAGAGAATGATATTAAAATCTTTTCCGCATGCAAAGCACACACATTCAACAGTTCGCTGTGTGGTAATAGAGTAAACTTGTTTCATCGTTACCGTATTTTCTGCACTAAAAGGTGCACCTAAAAGTCTTCCATTTTCTTAAAAGCTCACAGCACACCTTAAAATCCGGTGCGCCGTGTGTATGGTCATTACGGTAATATGTCGACCCCAAAATGGCTCTTTGCTGGAGACATGCAATAGAACACGGAAATAGAATAGTGGCAAGAGAGTTCAACGTTAACGAGTCAATGTGATAACTTGCTGTTAGTTCAGTGAACATGGTCGCTGCTTTATTAAATAAGTTTTTGTTGCAGCTCCGAAAAAAGGAGAGCTGTAGTGTTGGTTTTTTAAAACGTACACTTTATGAATGGTTTTCACAGTTTCAACAAATACAGGTATGTCTTTGTCCGTCTCCGTGCCTTCTCTTCTTCCGTTTGACTCGAGAGGCGTTCATGACCGCCTCCGAAAAACGTACATTAACGATTACTTCAATGAAAGTACAAAAATTGAAAGTAAGGCATCAAAACAGAAAATCAAGCGAGGAAATCACAAAATAAATTCTATAGCCCCGTCTACAGAATTTATTTCGTAATTTCCTTGTTTGTGAATACACAACAAAGGAATAAATAACAAACACTTCTGATAGAGTCCGGTCTCTTACATTTTACTGACATATGATCCTTCTGTTTACATTTCCTTGAGTGCAGCTCCATCTAGTGGATGCATTGTAGATTGCGTTTTATAATCCGGTGCGTCCAATATATGAAAAAAAATTACAAGATAGGCCATTCATTGAAGGTGCGCCTCATAATCCAGTGCGCCTTTCAGTGTGGAAAACACGGTACTGCAGACTTTTAAAATTCGAAATGTAGGATAAACAATGTAATCAATCATGCTCCAGGGGGGACCATTTGGCTGTATCATAACAAAGTTCGGTCATCAGAATGAATGAGTCTTCCACGGACAAAGGCACACCGATGTACTTTTATGCTCCCATACACAGCAATATGTACAATTTGGTTTTTATTTATGCCGTTGTTGTCTCCTTGACACTACTTGACTTGCAACCAAAAATCCTGCTTTGCTCCAACACGCAAATACAAGGCCGCATCGTAGCTCATAGCATTGTTTGCAACAGCATCGACATTTGGCTAATTCAAAAGTCAATGCCACCATGCTGTTTATGCAGTCTGTCACTGGCATGTTTCTACAAACTCCAAGCTATGGACAATAAAACATGGCCACGGAGGGAGGTAAAATAATTACACAGATGTCATCACCAAGGATGAGAGAGAGAGAGAGAGAGAGAGAGAGAGAGAGAGAGAGAGAGAGAGAGAGAGAGAGAGAGAGAGAGAGAGAATTCTAAGTATTCTGATTGATCATTGATTTTCTATATTTCAGAAAATAGGAGTGGCACACCCCTCCTTCTAATAAATCAGGACTTGACTCCCGAGTTTCCACTGGATTTTCATTTTTTAAATCTTGTTAAAAGATTTTGGACGATTGTATGCCAGCTTTGTGTGAACTTTTTTTGTGCTATTTCAGCCATGCTTGGATGGATTTGATCCTGCAGAAGTTGATAGCCATAACCTCACAAATGTCTTTCTGGACATACTGGAAATTCCCTCTCATTTCTATAAACAGAGAATATATATGCTGTACTATTATTCTACAGGAGCCAAATAGTTTTGCTAAATACTACTGTATACGTTCAGGTGCTGATATGAATCCTTCTGAATGTCTCTTTCAAGCTTATGCTTTGAGGCATGAAAGGCTTTTATGAAGCATACATCAAATTGCCTGTCTAATGGCAGCAGCAGCCAAAATTGATTGCATGCATGTAGAGTCAAAGACTGCGTTAGTCTTTGGAGGATGTCCAAAGAAATGTCCAGCCCTGTATTGAACACCCTCTGAAATAATTCCCAAGGTGGTACGAATTGCTGGCAAGGCACGAGGCTAATCCTGGTCCATGAATAAAAATGGACAGTCAGTGGTCTCGGAACGCAGCTTCTTCGACGGTACGTGAGTTCAATAGTATGCATACTATATGTGCTGTGTGTGCAGATTCTCTAGGAGTTTTGTGAAAATCACATATGCCAGTACACAGTTTGACTTCTATCGTTATCATGATCATACTTGCTGACAAAAAAAAAAAAAAAGTATGCTCCCATGGGACTATAAATAATCCAATAAGTGGTATTGCAATAGCCTTCCTTTGTGATGTCCATGCAGGGAGTCAAGGAGAGTCCAGAGGCGGGCTCGAGGCTGCTCTACTTTACAGCTGCTCTTCTCTTCTCACAGCAACAGCAACATTTGGGACCGACGTGGGATGACTATGACCTTGACGAATGTGTTTGTGTACAATGCTATTTTGTGGGCCTTGGTGCTATTGGTTTATGGATGTTATTCAGCAAGAATGGATTGGAATTATGCTTGTGATGCTGCATTTTTCGATGTTAAGTCTGCAGACAAGATAGAGGAACAATTCTCCAGAGCGAGTTTTCATTTTGATTTCATCACAAGGATGCAGAACTTATCCCTTGAGCTCCTGCGCTACCTTAATGCGTCAGCGATGAGGGAAGGGATGCTTGATATGCTGACCATGCTGTTTTATTCTCTCTTCATTTCCTAGATGGAGCTCTGGAGATTCCTCTCTTTCATTTGATCCCTTCCCAGAGGCAGCTGGTTTTCCAGGGAGACCGTCTGCCTCTTCAGTGCACTGTCACTTACTTGGACCCTTCAGTTGAGCTGCGATGGCATCACAATGGCAACACCGTGTCCACGCAAGAGGACCGAGGTGTTTATGTGGAGGAAACCTTGCTTCATGACTGTTGTCTGCTTACCAGGTACAAGCAACACAACAGATGATTTGCCAAAGGAAATATGATATTGTACACCTGTATTGATTTCAAACTCTTTCTAAGGAAAACTATCTCCTTGATCTGCCAGAGCTGTCATTTTGACGGTTTGCACTCTGTTGCAGTCTGACAGTGATGTACGTTATCACCTAAAATGATTAGCACTCACTGTTTGAGTAGCTAATAAACATATTTTCCATCCTTCATCTGAATATAAAAGAATGAGAAACAGGTGGTGGAGCACCTGTTGTCCCGTGCGGCTATTGGCGCTGATCACACCCCTCGCCTCTTAGTTCCATGGGGTAATTATGTCAACAAGCACCACATAACTTTTTTAGTTTATTGTTTGCGACTCTCTGGCCTGTATTGGACAAAATGTTATGACTCTTACATACAACAGTCAACATTTTACGACACGCAACAGAGCACCTCTTCGCCAGGTAAGGGGGAATGCTTGCTCGCACTCACTGTCTATGCCAGCCGAGCAATCCAGGGACCACTCATCTTTAGATTCAGCCTTGCCAATATTTTGAAGATGATGTCATACCTCCTGTACTGTATATATTATTGTTTTTCTTTTATGTTGACCATGGTGACCAGCAGCTTTTCTCAATGCTGCCTCTGGTTGCTATCTTACCTATGCTTCAATTTGATTGTATTTAAATATATAAAACATTTTATTGTATTTAAATACATGTAAAAAAATACGGTAAATTTAACTCGTATGCGCTGGAATGGTGCTGCCGGGTCTCTCTATCTATATAGGGCGGCCCAGTGATCCACTGGTTAGCGCGTTGACCTCACAGTGCAGAGGTACCCGGTTCAATTCCAGCTCTGGCCTCCATGTGTGGAGTTTGCATGTTCTCCCCGGGCCTGCGTGGGTTTTCTCCGGGTACTCCGGTTTCCTCCAACATTCCAAAAACATGCATGGCAGGCTGATTGAACTGTATAAGTGGTGTCCACTGCAATGAACTAACTCTATCATAAGTGATGTTCATAAGCTGTATATTATCGTCTTGGATTGAAGCAAGTCGTCGCAATGACTTGAGCAACAAATCTCACTTTTGACAACCCTTTTGAATGAAAAACACATGCCAGTTCACAAAGTTAAACTGATTACACCTTTGCAGCTCACACACAATGCATGTAAAGACCCGGCGTGCGCGCGCACGCACGCACACACACACACGCATACACACACACGCACACACACACACACACACACACACACACACACACACACACACACACACACACACACACACACACACACACACACACACACACACTTTACCTTCCTTCTATATCTCTCAATCATCTAAAGTAGCAGGGATTTAACTTTAGTTATTGGTGCCCTTGATAAGGATCTGAAAGGACAGACAAGAATTGACTTGGCATTGAGCCAACATCCCTGAGCTATCTGCAACCCCTCTCGAGAGAGGTTGTTCCTGCAGCCCATCCCGCATCTCTTGGTGATCACACCTGAATCATAACAGATGCTGGAACATAATTGGAGCAATGAAGTTTTAAGTCCAAACGTTACATGCCTTTTCCGTAGCTATTCTTGTAACCTACAACCAATTGTATACATTTCTCTTCGAAAATAAATATCGATGGGATGCTGACACAAGTGTTACTGTGCATTAAATTTACCTTATTGCTTTAAGGTTGACAGCAGGGGGCATTCCAACAGTACTTACACGGTTGACAATCTGGTGGACCGGTGAAATTTACAAACGTAAACGCAGTTAAAGTAACATGGCGGACTGACCAATTGACGATTACAGTTTGGATTATCTTAAAATAATGACGAACTGCCGATGACAGGGGGGTGCCCAGGCCACTAACCAATAATAGACTGGCACGCCCACCTCGATTTGTTTGTTTGGCAACATGGATGGCAGACTGTTTGCCGCTTCTTTTTGAACAGTATTCAATTTCCCTCCCAGAATCAACATGGTAGTTTCAGCCATTGTTTTACACTGCAACAATATCTGTTGTGCTAGGCCAAAATTCACATCTTATTTCGTCAGTTCTGTCCTGAGCAATTGAACTACAAATCTTGCAGTGATTGTAAAATATGCTTGTACTGATCAATAGCAGTTAACGTGACAAGCTGTCTCGTCTGCGGGGATGTCGATTTAGTGAAACATGATGCAATGTGAAACCGTGACTTCACAACTAGATTAAGTCTTTTTGGCACTTGTCAAGTACAATGTTATACTTGTTGCACATTTTAGTTGTATGCTACTTTCTACATTTTCGAACAAGCATTCATTATTTCAGTGACGTGTTCGTAATAGTCAATCCATTTTTTTCCATGCAAAATCCCAAATGGTTTCATGTACTCACAACTTGTTGTACTAGCCCACAGTGGCGGGAAAATGAAGACATCACAAGTTAATCTTTTGAAATGACATCTTTTGATATTGCTTATCTTTTATTTACGATCTTGTCAACACAGACATAAGACTGAGGAAGTTTATGTGCCAAACATGTCGCCAACTTGTCACAAGCGACCTTACTATTGTGACAAATAAGGTGGGACAACACACATGGGGGAAGCTTGCCAGCTTTTAAAGCTTTTCATCCTGCAGCCCAGGTAAAACTCATTTGGCTGCTTTCCTGAAAAGGAACAAGACAAAAGAACGCAGCAAGCCAAGCAAAGAATTAGAGGGTGTTCATCTCAGCCAATGTACAGTGAGAAAGAGAGGGCGACAGAGAGAAAGAGAGAGTTGAATTTTACTAAAACCAAGATACAGTACACATAAAATACCAGAATACAAATTTAAAATACCAGTAAAGCATAAATATATGCTTAAAAATATAACTTGTTTTATCCGTAAATATATTGTGAAAAAATAGAACTTCCTTAATTGTTATCAATATAGTTTACCAAAAGAGGATTTGTCCTTAAACTGTATGAAATGAATGGCAATTTTCTATTTCCCCCTCTCCCACTATTTTATTCTGAAAATACGTATTTTGTATAGAGCCCACAACAAGATAGAATTGAATGAATAAATAAATAACCAGTCAGGACCCATTCCACCACCCAAAGGCGGAGGGAGGCGCTCTTTGGTTGAGCTCTGCCCGTGTTCTGTAAACTGCTTTGTTACAGCGGGAACTGTTTTCAAAGCGTAAGATAAATAAAGATGGTATAAATAAAGAAAGAAAAAGAATGAAACACAAATATCAAGTTGCAGGTAAAAGTCACACATAGCAACACTTTGCCCGTACAAGCTTTAAATATTGCCGTTGGCACAAACATGAAACATGAAACATGAAAGCTTTTGAATATCTTTTTTTTTTCCCCACACACTTTACAGAAAAATAGAGAGAATGTACTCAAAGAGAATTTACTCAAACTTAATATGACTTGTGTCGTGGATAAATGGTTGTTTTGTTGTGTTCACTTTCTTGACACGGGATGGGGGCTTGTCAAAGTGGTGCAGAACCCGCCGCAGTATTTCTTCCATTCAGAGTCGCAGAAAATAATCTTGCTTGCTAACACTTGCAACCTTGCCACTACCCGCGTATGTAAACATACGTCGTTGGATTGACAAGCCCTGTGGTTGATTTATTTACTTATTTTTGGACAACCAATGATCTCTTTCTACTGTAACCAATCATATGCATCACTGGCCAGATGTTCCCCGGGGACAAGTTTGACTGACAAATGGGCCCTTTGCCGCAGTAGCGAATATGGAAAATATTTACCACACTCCTCCCCGTCACCGGCAATTTGGCAAATGGTGACCGCCCACCCTGCTGGGTGGTGTAGTAAATCTGTTTAGCGCCCTATATCTGCTGATATCAACAGCAATCCTTTCGCAATTGCATTTGTGGGCAATTCATTTCAATAATTTATATTAATACATTTTAATGTCCTGTATATCATATTCATATCGATTTTCCCCCGACTACGATGACTAGGCCCTATTTGTCAAAGCCGTTCATAAGACATGGTGAATTCTTCATTCAAATAATGCAATTTGTTCCACTGAGCAGAGCCCGTTCAGGCCACATTTGTGTTGGCAGAAATGTTTCTCATCGACAGGAACCCTACAAGGAGCAGAAGCCATTTTCATAAGAGTTGAGTGTGTCACAGAGCTCGGGCCAACAAAAACAATCAGCTGTCTTCACCTTTTGCTCAGCGCTGCATCTTGAATTGTTGCGTGGAGGTGGGAGGGGTTACAGAGCTGTGACTTCATTTCTTCATTAAGTCAAAGAATAAACACTTCAATCTAAAAGGCTTGTTCTTGAACACATAGTCATTTTCCACGCTTGTTTAACCACAGTGAACAATGAGTGAGGAGTCACAGCAGCCCTTGTTGAGGTTTGTCACCTTGGATCAATGTCCTCTGAGTCATTAAGCTTCGCCCCGCATGTCCCATCAGAGGGGAAAGACTGAATACACAAGATTTAGTACGTGGCTTAAGGCCTGTGTCTGGATTTGTCACACAGTGTTGCGGCAGTGCAAGCACAGATGCCCAAGTCTCAGTGAAGTGACCTCTTTGAAGGTGAACTCAACATGTTTCAGGCGATGTATTCGATTCCACTCATCCTGCATTTAGCTAAGCCACACGAGAGATGGAAGCACCGTGTACCCGATTGGCTACACAGATAAAAGCTAAAGTGTGATGTTCACAGTTTTTGGTTGAGTCACTGTTTGGGTACCTTAAGTTCCCTCCTCACATTGTGCCATGTAATTACAGTGTATCATTTGCCACTGCAGCTGTGTTAAGATGATCTGTTTACATTTCTCGGAGTGAGCATAACAGCCTCAGACCCCCTGAGGCCTGATGGTTCTGCCATGTGGGCCGGACTCCTGCTGAGTAATGGTGTTAGGCCAAACTCCCAGTATTAACTGAACGAGCAGTAGCAGTGGGACCATCCTGTGATTCATGTTTCATTAATCAAGCATTTTACAGCCCCGTGGCAAGCTACGGCAGACACTTTGGATGTATCCCCTCCTAATCCCTTCCATTTTTAATCAGCGTAATCGTGTATAGAATTAGGAAGAAAATGGTTGGGAAATATGACGGCAGAAATGATCCGTGTCTGTGCCTTTTCTTCTTGTCATCTTTGCATGTCAGTCTGTCACTGTATGACTTGCCTGTAAATATTAGCATTGTAAAATGCGTTTTCTTTCAACCTATGTTCCACTTTTTCGAGGTTTCTGTTTTGAATCCCGCTGTCTGCTTTTATAAAGAGAGTTGGAGCTTTCGTAGCTTAGACGCAGTATTGATTATGGCACACTCTGCCTTCCCATATACGGTACATAAGTTCAAGTTCAAGTCAACTTTATTGTCAAATGTGTTCTATGTGCAACATACAGCACAGATGAAATTTCTTTCCTCTCAACCTCGGGCTGAGGAACATACACATTATTTTATTGTGAAGAGGAAGTTTCTTTGCAGTTAATAATTTTGATTTGTATGTCCAACAACTTCTCAAGTCAAGTCAACTTTATTGTCTACATGTGCTACATGTGCAACATACAGCACAGATGAAATTACATTCCTCGGGAGCGAGAGGAGCTGCTGCGGGTGCCCGCGCCGCCATCAACAGAACAGTTAACATAAAATGACAAAATAAAACAACACAATACATAAGACACAGACAGTCGTGCAATCTTAACCACTTTTTCTGCATACACTTTGTTGTTTGAAGCAGTTATAGATGGAAGAGGAGAGAATCAAAGTGTCCTTTCACCAGTGGATCAGAGACGTCATGCTGAAAATGTGCACCCGTCTGCTACAAGTTTAAAAGCAAACAAGAAGTTGTAACGTCCATTGACGAACAAGAGGCGGCTCACATTTCCTGTCCCCTGTAAATCCGCTTCAATTCCAAGCGGCAACTCCCAGTTCCACTTAGGCATCTGCGCTCTGTGCTGACACTCCTTTCTTCTCATCGTCGGCTCCACAAGCCATCCATCCATCCAGCCGCAGACTGTCCAACACACCAACACTGACGCTGAACAAAATGTACTGTGAAAAATGCTGCCCATTACTGGCGCAAAAGACGATCGCCCCGGGGCTGTCCAGCAATGACAGTCAAATGGCGCCGACATTCCTCCCAATCAAAATCTGTGCTGGTACATGCGTGCTGCCGAGAAGGCGCAACCACCAAGCACAGATTCTTCTCCTTTGACGAATGTCGTGAACAAAAAATGCTGAAAAAAATCCACATCAGGTCCATAGACGTAACAACAACACCATGTGACAAAACAAAACACAAAAACAACAAAAAAAAGCAAGGCTCTTGAACAGCACTTGCCGACGGCTGCCGACTCGGGCACCATCTATGGCTGCATTTACAAGTACATTTTGAAGGTAAGAAGGCTCCGTTTTAATTCAGTCTGGCAGAGAGGGGATTAATGGAACAATATGTTTATTAATACATTGTGGTTGAATTCAGATGTAACTCTTTAGTTAGTTACAAGAGATGCAAACTCCACACGGGAAGGCCGGAGCCCGGAATCGTACCGTCGAACTCTGCACTGTGAGGCGGACGTGCTAAGCAGTCAACCGCATTTGTTTATTGATTTGTTTCATGTTATTTTATTTGTTTACCACTATTAACTGTTTACCATGAATAAAAGGTCATATTGTAGGGCTGTCCAACCTTTTTTTGACCCAAGAGCTACTTTTCAAGCAGCCAACCTCAGCTCCTTAATTCAGGTGATCAAGATTTTATTGCCTTTTCAAAATGTGCTCCAAATGTCCACTTTGTCACTTGAGACACTCCCGGATGTAGCATTTGCTGTTATCTCTTCGTTCTGACTAAAGGAAGGAAACAGTATGATTAAAAACAAAATTCAGCTGCCATAGTATCGGTTGCAATAATTTTTTGGTCACAGTTTATGTGCCTGTACTAACAAAGTACATGTCGGCTTTCCTGAAAATGGGATCAGCTTTTAAAAATTTGATGGAAAGAAGGACAAATTAAAAGTTTGTTGTCTCATAAGAAACATTATACAATCAATTAGTCAGCCATCAACCTGCAAGCATGAATGTTTCTTTTGAGTCCGAAGGGTCTTTTTTCCATAATGGTGCAGTGTTACTGTGCATGTAGGTCAGTGGTTGATGAACATGCCTTTTCCTTTTGCTTTTCACAAATGAGTGATTTCTTCGTGTTTTATTATCTCGTGGTAGTGGGTGACCTTTTTCTAATAATGTAGGAAAATCACATTGTGAAAAGCCAAGCTGAATGGTATCCACAGCGTTGCTTGTTTTGGCTGGATGCTGCAGTGAGCTGGGGGAAGGGGTAGCTGGGATGTTCAGACTAGACGAGACTGAGTGTAAAACAGGAAGATTTTATATTTCTCTCTCTCTCTCATACATACACACACACAGACACACACACACACACACACACACAAATACATACACATAACGGGTAGAACGCTTATTGAAACCCGACAAAACCAATTTGTTCAACCATGTTCCATCGCCACACTCTTTTTCTTTCTCCGCCCCCACCTGAGCACTAACCCAAGATGGTGGCGTGCATGTTTACGGCAGTGTCCATAGTTATGGCAGCACATGATGTGAAAATTCTTCTAAATCTAAACTTCCCACATTTTATAGTATCCTTAAAGGTCCTTAAAATAATCCAGCAACAATCCAAATCCACCCAAAAATCATGTCAGGTCTCAAACTTGGTCAACCCTAAACCCCTTGCTAAATCTCATTTAACCTATTTGTAAGACGTACCTCCTCATTTTTAAGCCACTCCTCTGTGGCATCTACATTACCATTTCAAATATGCCTAATTAAAAAAAAAAACACATTTCGTGACTCCTGTTTTTGCTCCTCCATCAGTGAGGTCATCCTCGCCAACATCGACGTGGGCCTTGCTGGCACCTGGGAGTGTCTCATGACTAGTTCCCGAGGCAACAGTTCTCGACAGATGGAGATAGTTGTACTAGAAATGTCTGCGCCATACTGCCCTGCTGACCGAGTCACCAACAACAAGGGGGAGTTTAGGTGAGTCAACTCTCGACTGATCTGTCTACGTCATGAGAATCTGCATTTGTACAGTTGTGCACTGATTTATAAAAATACAATTGGGAACCACAGAGTTCATGAACAGCCTTGTTTAAACCCATCAACAGAGTTTGAGTTAGTCATTCATTTAAAAGAATGCTAGGTTGTGTGTAGGATCGGGTGTGAGTGTCGAGTTTTGGAACATTGTGTGTCTCGCTCCAGGGTACTTTGACTGTAGTCAGCAAGCAGATGAGCATCTCTGCAACAACTAATTGCATTTTTTTATGATTACTTATTTATTTTTGTCCATAGTCAAGTCAAACTGTGACCCTCTGGTTCCAAAGCATGAGTCCTGACAGACAAGCCTCTGCAACTGTAAATTCCAGGCAGGGGCTCCATGGTATTTGCCCAATGTGATTTTAAATTTAAGAATAATTTTGAATACTTGGAATGAGATTTCAGTCAGTATTGAGGCTGTGGGAAAGATTTCAGTATGATAAATCACCATTAAATGGCAGGAGTGGCTTTGATCAGATCTTGGTCGCACACAGTGTGAGAGGGTGTGGGCTGTTCTACGGTGATCCTTACACCGATCCTAGGTGATGTGTGAAAGCAGTGTGGTGTTGAGAACTAGGATAAATACCGGCAGCTAACGCTACAACAGAGTTTTTTCAAATTAAAAAAAAAAAAAAAGATGACAAAGTAACATTGTCATCCTTGACAAACATGCGCATGCAGACACGCAAACACACGCACACACACACACACACATACACACACACACACAGACACACACACACTCACACACACACACACACACACACACACACACACACACACACACAAAGTTCAACGTTCATGAAAAGTATTCATGTCATCCACCAGTGCAGTGTTTATCTTGCAATTAACTGTTACTTTGCAATCAAAGTGACCTTTTTTGTGTTGTTTATATTGTTATTTAGTTGGAAAGCATTGTACAGATATTTGAGGTACCACCTACATACATTGCATCAAAGTGAAAGTTCTGCTTGTATGCTTTCATCAAAAGTTATTTTTCTTATTTTCAAGAAACTTAACATTATTCAACGTTGTTTACTAAAGAATGGTAAAGGGTCGAAATGAAGAATTAACAGGGTCAAAGCTTTCTTTTGGTAGGTTCCATGCGTATGTAGAGAACTCAATTTTCTGTAGGTCTTCAAAAATGATTCAATGATGGCACCGGCTCTCTGAATTTGGGAAAAATGTCTGGCATTGAATGAGTGAATGAAGTGCTCCGAAAGTCACTTTGACCATTGGTAGTTAAAATAGGATCCACACACATTTTTATGGGTTATTTTAAACAATATGTTTTCTTAATTGCTCTTCCGGTCAATCCTGAATGAGCTACAACAGTAAAACCTGGGTCTCCGTGTGACAGCAGTTGAGAACCAATGTTGTAGTCCATAAATAAGCATGTCGATTAAAACATCGTTTAATCATATATTTAATGCATGTAGGCGTGTCAGGGATGAAGTCCCACAAGCAGTCAACAGTCTCTTGTGGCTGACCTCGACCACACTGCCATAAGCACAGGAGGACTTGTTCCTTTTGCTATTTTGCCTGGAAAAAAAAATTACACCACGATTCTCTTAGCTCTCATCAGTAAAGCCCCACCCCCCACATCCTTGCTTTTCATGTGAGTGTGCAGCTGTCATCCTTTGTAGTTCGTCGCCCTCCTCCACTGCATAAGCACACAGACTCAGCCTCTCTTGGAGCACTGGCGTAATGGACTGGAAAATGAGCCCCCTCTTTTACTTTGGGACCATTTTAATACCATTTATTACTAGGAATTCTGAGTCAGAGCAGAGACATGCCTGGTCACCCTCGGAGCAGATGACAAGTTACTGCAGTATGGTTCTGATGTATTGTTGGTTTTGCCAAGTGATGGGAATCCATTGGATTCCACCTTACCCTGACCCCAATTGCATCTTTTAGTTTCTTTTCAACATATGTCGTACTTTCAAAACAACAAAGGCAACCTATATTTGTCTTTTTAGTGTGTCCTTTGCCTCAGCAGGAATATCAATTTTCATATGTAATATTTATCAGTCTATGAACCCCCCACTCCCTCCCCAAGCCATTTATATTTCATCCACTAAATATGCTCTATAATGCCGCCATCTTTTGTTCAAAATCAATTACTTATTACCCAAAAGTGACAAGGCTTCCTTCTCATTCATCCCCGCATGCCACGGTGCTTGTATACAGTGTACACAGACGCTGGGTGTCTACTGTTTTGATGGGGAAACGTAGAATGGGTTGTTCCACTGCGCAAAACTGGACGGTCATTGGCTAAATGCTGGGCTTCATCCTGCCCATCGGATGCTCAGCGTCTCTGGGGGTCTATGGGGCAGTGGGCTGTCCAGGACACTCGGCTTCTGCATGATGATTGGATGATCCGTCTGAGGCAGAATCCCTATTTGACTGACAGTGAAATCAGCAAAGCGGCGATCTTGAAGTGTCAACCTCCACCTGAGCATTTTTCATTCCGTTGTTCTGAACTGATCCCGAGACTTTACCGATCCTCAGTGACTTTGTCTGTGTTGAAAAACGCAGAGCGTTGTGTTTAGCAACTCACTTCTGTCACTCTGCGGTATCTTTCTCCAATGAGCAGCGGCAGCTGTGCAGCCTCTCACCCCGTCACGAACGCTCACACTCACAGCTGGTCACACAGTAGCCTCGTACTGCAGCTCCACCTGCTCGCAAGCTGCACATCATCAAAATCCACTTGAATGACCAACAGCCACCATTGTTTATAAGGATGGTTTATATTTCCAAATTTCAAACACCCAAACTCCTGGGAGAATTGAAGATTACAACTTGATGAAGCCAACAGAACCACATCATCTGCAAAAAAGCTAAGGCACAATACTAATAATAAACTGGAACCAATTCTAACTTAATGCCAGCAATCAAGATGGGTACCGTTTTGGTACGGACAATTTTGGGTCGGTAATTCATGTGAAAAACTCTGAAAAAAGAAATCATATGGTCGTCCTTGAAGGTGTTCTCTCACCTGAATTGCATGTGGGCGGCATCATTTCCACTCAGTTATAGTGTGAATTTGAGAGCCAATCGCTGTCTGTCTGTATATGTGCAGTCCTGTCCAGTGTCTGGCAGACTGGGTCAAAGAACCTGATAGAGAAATCTATGAGCAAAATTGTATCATGTTTAAAGTTTCATTTAATTTGGGCACGTCTAAACGTTTGGGTGCCTATCCAGCGGCCCCAAATGCCTGTGCACAAAGGCGCCGGCCGTCTGGGCGGAGGGCTTTTGGAGTCCACAATTATCACGTCAATTCAAGGGGGCGAACAGAGAGAAGAAGGCTAGACTCGGTCACAAAGGGGGAATGAATAATTCGGGAACAGCGTTGTTGAACAACAAAAGACGATTTGAGAACACCCATCACGCCCATGCGACATTTGTCATCTGCAAAGTCTGCAACTTGTTGATTCATTGTAGACCAGACAGAAAGGCGTCAACGTACCGGTGGTTCAAAGCTTAAACCAAGGTAACCAATCACTACCGAGGGGCCGGACCGGGCACGAGGTATGCAAATATCGGGGGCAGTCTTTTTCTTGTATTTTGCATATGTGACAATAAAAGTTCAAATTGGCGGAGAGGGAACTCTGAGTGTAATCATCGGGGAAACTACCGTCGTTCGCCCTCAGCGATCCCTCCCGCCGATCTTGAAGACAATTTTCCCTGTGTGCCGAGTCATTTCTTTAACTTTGTCTGAGAAAAACTCTGACAGAACCCAATGTCCAGCTCCCAGCTGGTCTGAACAGGATAAGCGGTATAAAAAATGGTCAGATGAACTCTGTAATGAGAGGAACGAAAAGTCCACAACTGCGTATTTTTTAAGTGTATCTTAACTACATGGTAAGTTGTAAACAAAATATGCCAATTTGCTAATTTGATAAAAATCGGAAGTATGGCTTTGCCATCAGGTACATCAAGTTAGGAACCCTGTTGGATCTCCCAGTTCTTCCTTCCTTTATGGTCTATTAACACCAAGCAAGGCTCTCTTGTCTATCATCAACTGCCAACGGTTTCCCGCCATTTCTCTAGGCCACTTCTTTGCAAGTCCATTCAATCAATTACACATTAAAATCGTCCACCTGCTGCTCACATACAAGTACCTCTCTTTCAGTTATTGCATCACAATCGTTGCTCATTGTAAAATTCTATTGAGTGACATCACGTTCAACTAGAAATGTAAATGCAAAATCACTTTTGCACTGATTTATGATATGAAGGAAAAGAGAAAAGACCCTCATATTGATTTTGGTTTTCTTTTTTTTGTGTTTGAGCCAGCTGCAATCGAGACACAGATGTTCTTTGGATTATTTGGTGGTATTTGAATTGCAGGTGGCCCAAGACTCTAGCGGGCATCTTGGTCTTCTTACCTTGCGCTCCCTCCACCTTCGGTTCTGCCCCTCACCCATTGGGCAACACTCCACAGTTCTCCAGCCATAAGGAGAAGAAAGCATGGCGGCGCTGTGACCGGACCGGACGGTGGGCTGAAGAAGATTACACTCAGTGCCCTTATGCCAGTGAATTCACACGTGTGCTACATGAGCTCACCCAGGTATCGATAAAAAATAAAACAATTGACCATAACGATATAGCAAAACTTGCTTTATCATGTTTTATAGCCGCACCTTCACTTGGATTTCTAAATCACACTTTACAGTTTGCTTTTATTGTTTATGCCCCTATATGTTTAGTAACTAATGTTGGATTAATACTGTACTGTTATTGCGCTAAGATTCTGATATTGAGTTGGACTTGTACTTATATGACTGCACCTTAACCTATAGGTCAGATGCATCCCTTGAAATGAGACCATCACCTCAAATAAAAATATCATAATTCAGGCCGGATAAACAGCACCAGTCATGTGAGCCTATACAACTTAACGGGCAGATTTTGCCTTAGAAATGAGAACCTGACATCATTGAAATACAGGAATTGAGACTTTTACTTGCACTTTGGCACAGACAACATAATTTATGCCACACCCGAACAAAGAAAAAACACTCATGACAAATTAAGAATGGTCGTAAGTGTGGTGCAACAGAGAAGTGAAGACCATTACATCAGGGAAACTAATGAGTCCTTACCAGTGGAGTGTTTGTCAAGATCATCTTAATTCAATGTGGTTAAAAGAATTTTGAAATGGTGAGGGAGCCCTTATTGTGAACATGTTAGTCTTTAAATAACTAAACCCTTGTTGTCACAGTCAGAAATATGTGACGATTTACGAGTAGCGAGGAGGCCCCTATTTTAAACAAATGATTCAAACTGACTTACTGGGGTGACTTTTTTTTTTTTTTTTTAAACTCATGACATCAACATAGAGATAAATTACAAACTTTTGTGACGTAGTATTTTTGATGTAGACTAAGTGTTATCAGAGTCCAGTCATGTTTTTCATAACCGACTGCTCCATCTTACGACAGATAACCGTGAACACCACCAACGCTCAGCCTTTGGGCCAGCAATTAGTGGCCTTTACCAGCAGGGCGGCTCACTTTACTGATGTCATGGATGTCATCTTTGTTACGCACCTAGTCGAGAGACTGACCAGGCTGGTAAAGAAGCGCAAGGAAGTAAGTATGAACAGAAAAACAGTGATTGTCCTTGTAACATGGTCCATGTGAACAAAATTGTTCGTAAACTGCTGAGTGCCTTCCGCAGGCTGCGTATTTCAGTTCCGTCTCAAGACGTAAAATAGTATTTTAATCAAGGCCCATAAAATGTCACTTGAAACTCCAGTGTTTTGTTTCCAGGCTTTTTTGTGTCTTTTCAGTTGTGCATTTTGAGTTGTTATTCTTTCGGTGGACCCTTCTGTTGCTGAGCAGCATGCAGTATTTAGCTCTAGAATGCCTCGATTATCTTGAGAGTCGATTGAATTTGGAATGTAGCAAAGCATTCTCAGAATATACGGTATGTATTCATTGTGTGTTTCTTATTATAATCATCATGATTATTTTGATAATTAATTTTTAAAGAATATATTATAATACTGTATAGGCAGTTTAAGCAGGTGTTTTGTGCCGTTGTGGGCGTGAACACAGTTGACATGATTTGCCACTAATCAAAGTGACTACCTTTCATTTCATTGACGTACAAGAGGCGTACAATCTTTGACATGGCATTCTTCCCAAACAAGCCTTTCAGGTTTCACTGTCATTGCCAACATGAGCATTGAATTCCCCCAGCAGAATGAGGGAATGCCCCATGTAAGGGGTTCCCGGGCACCCCTTCTAAGAACTCCAAAGAGCAAGGGTATTCTGAGCTGTTGTTTGGTTCATTGGGCACAAAGAAGTCCGTCAGTTGAAATTCCAAGACGATCCAGAGTCAGACATACTGGAGCAAAGTGTCAGTAAGCTCTGTCTCCTTCACACTCGGGCTAAATATCTCATTAATTTTTGATATTTACATAAGATTAGCTCTGATTGGGTGACTGTTCTTCTTAATTTCATATAGCAAATACATTTTCTCTGATTGGTAGTTGTTGTTTCGTGGGCAACTTGGTACTGTACAATTGTGTGCATGTGTGTACAGTGCTGTTAAAAAGTATTTTGCCCCCTTCCTGATTTCTGTGTTCTTTGCATATTTATCACGCCCAAAGGTTTCAGTTCATCAAATCAACTTTAATATTACACAGAGACTAACCAAGGAAATACAAACTGTTGTTTGTAAATGCCAATGTCATTTATTAAGGCACAAAAAAAAAATCCCAACCTACCTGTCCCCTATGTCATACTTTTTCACAGCACTGTACTTGTACACCTCACTGTTGATTCATGCATGTCAACAGAAATAATTGTGTTGAAACTTTTTTTTAAAAAGGTGCTATTTAAATCCAGCCCAATTTTTGGGTTTCTGCCTGTGGTTCCAAATGAAACTGTCTTTCTCCATGCTCTTTGCAACCATCAAAAAAGAAATTGCGTTGTTAAACCATATCTTTTTGTGAGAATGGGGATTTGTTCTAAACTGTCTTGAAGCTGTGATTTGTCATTTTCTAAGAAAAAATCAGCTTTGTTATTCCATACAGCGACAACAATGTATTTTTTTTTTGTTCCGAGGCATGATTGAGCAAATAGAAAAGGATATTCAGGCAGACACATCAGTGACATGCTAGAAAAGTCATTCCAATTGGGTGTTTCTACCTTAATTGACCACCGAAATATAAAGTTGTCTCCCTTCTGCATTTCCCCTGCACCAAGATGCCATCAGTTTTGCTTCGAGTGAACTTCCCTCCCGTCTTTGGCCAGAGGCAATCAAAGGCCCCCAATCGCATTGAATGTCAGGTAGTGCTGAGCTTAACTCTCACGTGCCCAATTAGCTCAAATGGGTCACAAGGGAGAAGCAATTATTAGGGGATCTTTGAAGTATATACCTCCAAAGATGAGGTAGTGGGCCACACATACAGTATTCATTTAATGAGAGATAGTAAAATGAAGCAACAATGAAGAGTACAGTCAGTAAATAGCAAGCTGACATCCCAGGGAAGCAATTACTCCCCTTTTGAGCCACTAATCTAAATTAAATCTCTCTATAATGAATGAAGCCACTGTTCCCTTCACAATTATGATTCCAAATTATAAATGTGTCTATTGTTGACCTGATTGATGTGGATGATCTATCGACATCTTTGTGTCCAAGCCTTTTTATATGTTTGATTCTAATTTTGCACATGCATACATCTGAATGCATGTCTTCTGATGTCCGTGCAGCTGGGCGACTATATTTCAGAGATAGCCAGCAACATGATGCTGGTAGAGGAGCATATCCTGTGGATGGCCCAGAATGAAGCAAGAGCATGCACACGGATTGTTCAGTGTGTGGAGCGCATTGCTGACCTGGCATTGACTGGAGACAATCACGCCATTTCTAAGGTATGATTGAAGAAAATCAACAAAAACTACGGGGAGGTACATCTCTGTTTTGGCTCCAACACAGAACGATGAGAAAGGATTTGGCTTGGGATACACTTTTGTTGTTTGGGTAACAAGTAATGTGTTTTAAACAAGTGGTTCTGTACAGGTGTCTCCTAAGTGTCTGGTCTATAAGGTATTGTGTATACACAACAAATTAACAAAAAACAATAGTGGCCAATGGATTGCTCACCCAAAAAACAAATTTTGGAAACTAATGATAAGTCGCTGATGGTGTAGTGGTACACTGGCCTGATTTGTAAGTGGGCAGCATGGGATCGGTTCCCACTCAGCGGATGTGGATGCGGGTGTGAATTTTGATCGTCTCGATATGTGCCCTGCAACTGAACCAGTTCAGGGTGGAGTCCGCCTTTCGCCTGAAATTCGCTGGTCACTCTCGACGTGACCCTGTTCAGGATAACCGGTGTTGAAAATGGATGGATGGAAGCTAATGACGCGGAGCTCAGAAAATCACCATACAAGCACTTAAATGTGAAACACATCAGTGTATTTTTGTGGACATATTTAGCATTTTCTTTTGCATCCCATTATGCACCTTTATTACATGCATATTTTGTCTACTTGCTTGAGCAAGTTAGCGAATGCCAGATTTATCAACCATTTCACATTTTTCAGTTGCAGGTTAACTGTGGTGAACATAAAATGTGGTGCTGAAAATGGATAATTGCAATTTAATTTGTTTCAGATAAATGTAATCAGCTGGTTTACTGTAACATGTGACTTTGATTTACCTCTGTTGACTTCTAGGCTAGTTATCCTGTCCGTCTATTTTCTCTAGTAGGCCTTCATGCTCTCCCAATATTCTCCAACGCTCATTCTCATTTTCCTTTCTCTTTTTTTAAACCTATTTCTTTTGCTCCTATCTTTCTCAGGTCTCTGCTAACATAGCTCTGGAGGCATTTATGATACGACCCTCCAACTTTCTTGGCCTGTCTTGCACGGCACTGCAGCAGCCTCCATTGTCTACCACGTTGCCCTTACTGGAAAGCCTTGCCCCCAAGTACAAGGATACAAAACGACAACATGACACCATGGGCGAATCGTTCCTCAACTTTAAATGTGACACAATAAATCGAGGCTCACCAGCCAGTCATCTCAGCATGGTAATGTTGCCAAACTATTTGAAAATCTGCTCTACCTTTGTTTTTCTGTCTTGTACTTACAAAATTCCATTTCAGGTCAAGAAACTCAGTCTAGATGGGGAGATGGGGGGGTTCCTTCTATTTCTATCTCACTGTATTTAATATAAAGCGTTAATATGACTTAAATTAAATGTGAAATGAATTTTGATTGTGTCACGGCTAATACTAGGAATATGACTTGCATATTGTTGGTACTGCTATGGTGACCCCGGATCACCTGCTTTTGTGATCTGTATTGTTATTGGCCCTGCAGAAAACACCGACGGGTATGTATGTGAACACTAATGGAACAGTTCTCAAAAAAAAAAAAACAAACAAAAAAAACCCCAAAAGGTGCACAATTATCACCTTGTTTTATTTGAAAAAAAAAGTGATATATTCATCACAGTACATTCATTAGGTGGGTTGATGAAAATGTGCAAGGACAAGCAATGTATGTTTCATAATATGCAATATAAAACACAGTGTTCTGTCTTTTGGAGTGCTAACAATCTTGTACCAAAAGGTCACTGAAGGGCATAATTTCTCATTTAGTAATCGTATCCTAAATTAAACAAAATGTGTCATCGTGTATCAAAATCTATAATTTGTTATCTTTCCATACCCCTATGTGCTGTGTGCCTTTGAAAATTGTCCTGACAAGATGACACATGTTTCAGTTTTGACATGACATGACAGATCAGCTTGCGAGAAGGTTGGGGGACAGGTGACACAGCTGTTCATGGGAACTGTTAGATGGGTGTTAGTGAATATTCGTTATGTACAGCCTTGTATGCCTGTCACTTTAAATCTGCTCCATCCTCATGACACCACATTTGTCGCCATCCCATGCGGCAAGTATCTCCTCAGCAGGCAATATCTTTTCCCTCGATATGTGCCCTGCAACTGAACCAGTTCAGGGTGGAGTCCGCCTTTCGCCTGAAATTCGCTGGTCACTCTCGACGTGACCCTGTTCAGGATAACCGGTGTTGAAAATGGATGGATGGAAGCTAATGACGCGGAGCTCAGAAAATCACCATACAAGCACTTAAATGTGAAACACATCAGTGTATTTTTGTGGACATATTTAGCATTTTCTTTTGCATCCCATTATGCACCTTTATTACATGCATATTTTGTCTACTTGCTTGAGCAAGTTAGCGAATGCCAGATTTATCAACCATTTCACATTTTTCAGTTGCAGGTTAACTGTGGTGAACATAAAATGTGGTGCTGAAAATGGATAATTGCAATTTAATTTGTTTCAGATAAATGTAATCAGCTGGTTTACTGTAACATGTGACTTTGATTTACCTCTGTTGACTTCTAGGCTAGTTATCCTGTCCGTCTATTTTCTCTAGTAGGCCTTCATGCTCTCCCAATATTCTCCAACGCTCATTCTCATTTTCCTTTCTCTTTTTTTAAACCTATTTCTTTTGCTCCTATCTTTCTCAGGTCTCTGCTAACATAGCTCTGGAGGCATTTATGATACGACCCTCCAACTTTCTTGGCCTGTCTTGCACGGCACTGCAGCAGCCTCCATTGTCTACCACGTTGCCCTTACTGGAAAGCCTTGCCCCCAAGTACAAGGATACAAAACGACAACATGACACCATGGGCGAATCGTTCCTCAACTTTAAATGTGACACAATAAATCGAGGCTCACCAGCCAGTCATCTCAGCATGGTAATGTTGCCAAACTATTTGAAAATCTGCTCTACCTTTGTTTTTCTGTCTTGTACTTACAAAATTCCATTTCAGGTCAAGAAACTCAGTCTAGATGGGGAGATGGGGGGGTTCCTTCTATTTCTATCTCACTGTATTTAATATAAAGCGTTAATATGACTTAAATTAAATGTGAAATGAATTTTGATTGTGTCACGGCTAATACTAGGAATATGACTTGCATATTGTTGGTACTGCTATGGTGACCCCGGATCACCTGCTTTTGTGATCTGTATTGTTATTGGCCCTGCAGAAAACACCGACGGGTATGTATGTGAACACTAATGGAACAGTTCTCAAAAAAAAAAAACAAACAAAAAAAACCCCAAAAGGTGCACAATTATCACCTTGTTTTATTTGAAAAAAAAAGTGATATATTCATCACAGTACATTCATTAGGTGGGTTGATGAAAATGTGCAAGGACAAGCAATGTATGTTTCATAATATGCAATATAAAACACAGTGTTCTGTCTTTTGGAGTGCTAACAATCTTGTACCAAAAGGTCACTGAAGGGCATAATTTCTCATTTAGTAATCGTATCCTAAATTAAACAAAATGTGTCATCGTGTATCAAAATCTATAATTTGTTATCTTTCCATACCCCTATGTGCTGTGTGCCTTTGAAAATTGTCCTGACAAGATGACACATGTTTCAGTTTTGACATGACATGACAGATCAGCTTGCGAGAAGGTTGGGGGACAGGTGACACAGCTGTTCATGGGAACTGTTAGATGGGTGTTAGTGAATATTCGTTATGTACAGCCTTGTATGCCTGTCACTTTAAATCTGCTCCATCCTCATGACACCACATTTGTCGCCATCCCATGCGGCAAGTATCTCCTCAGCAGGCAATATCTTTTCCAGCAGAGACTGACGAAAAACATTTACAGTAGCTCATGTGGTTGTTGCAGTCTACACCTTTTCAAAAGTTCTGCAGAACAGCATTTTATTGTTAATTAGAACAAATTGAGTGGGAGAGTAGTTGGCGTTAGTGTGCTGGTCTGCAAAGACAGAGTCAGCGGACATGTTTGTGCTACTGGGCTTATTCCATTTTTCTAATCTTCTCCAGTGAGACGGTAATGTCTCTGTGCTTTGGCAGCATCTTAAGTACTTTGCTACATCTTACCTCAGGGCTATTGGTGCAACAGTGTGCACATGTCCGCGCAGGCTTATGATTCTCACTTGGTCAGGACAATGCAACATTAAATAATTATTCCCAACATGCCCTCTTTAATGTTTCCAGATGTACTTTAAAGTAGGAGGCTGAAAATCTCCAAGAGGAGACGAGGTATATGGAGGCATGGCGGTGCTACTTAAATGCTCCTGTTTTAAATGACGATAGAGTAGTGTCAAATTTCATTGTAAGCCAGTCAGAGGCAGAGTTGGGCAGGTGCTATTCACTCACAAATAAAGTCAAGTGTAGTCGCAAACAAGAGTCAACACAAGTAGTGCTTTGTGAGGAGGATTGAGGAAACGTGAGTGCGAAACGGCACAGTTATATCTCCAGGTAAAGCGGCCTTCTTTAACTCCAAGTCGCCTTTTCTTTTCTGGAAAAAAAAACGTGCAAGTTGGGATTTTTTTTTTTTTCTTTTATGGACAAAAGTGGTGTCAAGAGAATCCAACCTCAAACATCTTTCTGTCACGTTACGTCCCAAACCAAATTATGACACTTTCACCAACACGTTCCTCCAAAACGAGTTGCCGTTAACGCTGATGAAGACAAAGACACTGCGAAACGACTAAAACAAATGTCGCTTGTTTTCGGCTCCTCATGTGTCTGAGACTCGGCTAAAACAAAGCCATTTGTTCAGAGCACTGTGGAGTAGGGGTACACATGCCATTTAAACATTCTCGTAATACATAGATCCTCAACAAGGACTCACTTTGTCCCAAAGCAACATTAAAATAACTTTTATTTGTGTGAACTGTTTCTGTTAGTCAATTAATTGCAGTAAGTGTCAATTTCATATTTTGTGGAAAATGCTTGGAAGCTGTGTGTCAGGTTTTTCTTTTTTTTTTTTCTTTGAACTACATTAAAGTAAAACCACTTCTTGTTGAGACTTTCACTAGTGAAGAAATACTTGAACTCGACCTACAGTTATATCCACCAGTTGTTTTAACTTCAATAAATATTAAGTTAAATAAAGTGCCAGTCTATGCTCTTCTACTCTATGTAACTGGCCCATGAAAACTGTAAAACAATCTGAGTTCTAATCACTTTCTTGGACGCTAATTAGATTGATGAAAAAAGTAATACAGTTCGAAATTAATTAGCTTTTTTTTTCTGATAAAACTCATTGGCATTACACATACATAAGTTTTTCTCTCGGTTAGCAGAAGAGAACCAACCAGCCAACTCAAGTTCAGGTACATGATATGAATGGTAATAATATGTTAATATTTCATGTTTATTTTAATGGAAATAACATGATGGGAAAAGGGAACCTGATATCAAATTAAATCAATTAAATCTCAGCTATTTTTGCAAAACAAAAATGAAACATGAAGGTTGAATGTTTCCAGGCATACAGGGATGCACGGTGCCTTCCTTGAAGCTCATTAGCCGTTTCTCCATTGCTTAAGATAAATTTATTGCAGGGCTTGAGAAATTTTCACTTGAATAAACACATCTTCCCCTCGGTTGACAATGCCCTGGGCAAAGTTGCGGCCATTTCACTTCATTCAGCTCCCTTGGCACTGATAGCCAGGTAATTGCATTTTGACCAAATTGCATACCAAGTTATTCCTGAGGTGGAACAAAGGCACGTGTCTTTACGGTCCTTGCAGAAAAAAAAAAAAAAGCCAATGGCGTATAGGAGTGGTTTTGCCCTTTGCATAATAATTCCCATCATATCACTGGTATGCAATGCAGCCATATGAATGCCATATGACTCCGAGCATTAATGCATTAGTTGCAAGAAGGCAAAAGCAAATCATACCCATCGGTTAAAATATAAAACTGTCTGCACTTACACATCAGGGAAAGTTTTCAGAAATTGTCTCACTGTCACACAAACACTTTTCTGTTTTAATGATTACCAAAGCCAACTTTTGGAATTGGGGAGCGAACCAATCTGAAGGTTATACAGTCCTGTCAAAACATCCATCACTCTTTTCTACCTGGTACCTGTATAGTGGGTTTAGGCCCATCGGGCAACCGCAAAAATCAGACAGACAACCATTTACATTTAAGGACTAATGAGAGCAGGGGTTTACTAACTTTTTTGAAATGGAGTGCTATTTGTTGGCTACTG